TATTGATATATACACATTACATATATTACATACTTAAACACATATATGAATGCATGTACATATATATACATGAATATGTTTATATATATGCATATATCTGTATTTATTAAACATATTCCTACATAATATAAGTATATCTATATATGCATATACATATACATGTACACACATGTATATATGTTACACACACACACACACACACACACACATATATATATATATATATATATATATATATATATATATATATATAATATGTGCGTGTGTGTAGGGTTACATGTATAAATGGACTCTACTCATCTACATATTTATGTGAATACACATCTGCGTGATTCTTGATTATTATTGCCGATAGGAAAGTGTGGTAACTGCAATCTGTTATATGTCCATCTCCATAACAGTGATTAATCTTATATTCACCAAGGTCCACGTAACGAATACGGTTCAAAATCCAAAGGGATGAAAATAGATTAATACAAAGTAGGAGGAAATATTGGGTGTCAGAAACGGTGCATTGATGACCAAATGGCAGAAAAAAGCGCACGGTATTATTCGTTCTCACGCAGCGCATCTGTGCTCTGGTTTCTTCATCCTTCGCCTTTATTTCTCCTTTTGCGTATTCTCTCTCTCTTTTCTTTTCTTTTTTTCGTCTTTGTCTCTTTCTCTTTTCTTTTCTTTTCTTTGTTTTCTTTATTTCTTTTTTCTTCTTTTCCTTCTTTTTTCTTTTCTTTCCTTCTTTTCTTTTTTTTCTTTATTCCTTTTCTTTTTTTTCTTCATTTCTTCTTTCTTCCTTCCTGTTTTTCTTCTTTTTCTTTCTTTCGCTCTTTATCTCTTTTTCATGCTTCATTTCCGAAACGGAGCTAGACTTGAAAGGCTGATACTGACAGGATGAATATTAAAAATGTACTATAGTATATTATATAAACATTATATAATGTTCATCAACCTGTCAAACCGTAATCGTCACCACTACCATGTTGTGAAGTTCACTTTCACCTCGACATAATTTAGAAAAAGAATATATTTTGTAATTCACTTTGCAAGAAGAAAGATTCGCATGAAATCAATATATCAAATCCCACTCAACAATCATGTTATTCTTTTTATAAATCATCTATACGGTTATCTCCGTTACATAAAATTCTTTCACAATATATATATACTTAATATATGTATATATATATATATATATATATATATATATATATATATATATGTATGTATACGTGTGTATGTGTATCTATACAGATTTATGATAATGCGTTTATGCGTTTCTATTCTAACTATGGTTATGAAAGTAAGCCTTGATAATGGGGAAGTACAAAAATGGGTAATAATTTCTAATGCATTATTGTAATTATTGTCTTAAATGTCTATTATTGTAATGAAGTTAAAGATATAACTCCTTTATTATTCTTACAATCAGGAGGAATGTCAAACGCGACAAAAAATACATTGCTACATGTCAAATCGTGAAACGTAAATATTGTTAAATATTGATGGGAATACGATTCACACAATAGAAAATATATGCGTATGTGTATGAGTTTATGCATGTTTGTATGTGTGAGAGCTTTGGATGAAATCCCTTGTATCAGAAAATTCCACTGTGACTGCAAATAATAGCATTTAGGTAAAAGAAAAGATATTGAATGCACACAACAAACATACACACAAATATGTACACATATTCATATGTGTATTCGTATATATATATATATATATATATATATATATATATATATATATACATATGCTTCAATAGGCTTCCGTGTTTCTGTTACTAAGGCCATGTTGAATGTTCTTACTAGATTGCGCCACGACTAAATTTCCCTCAAGTATCCGCAAAATGGCTGAGGCTATACATATTCATGTGTGTGTATAACTAAATACATATAAACATGTGTGTAAAGATCTTTCTTGAACTGTACATCATTTATCCGTCCATGCTATGCCTTTAGGCACCGGGCTATAAAACACCCGGATGTGAGAAGGACGAGAGCCCCGCCCATGTGGTCTCCCTGGATGGCGGTCATGGAGGCTTCGGCTAAAAAGGAACAACTACGGTCATTTTCGTCAGACAGCTCCTCGTCGGTGGGTCAATATGAACGCTCTGGTAAGTGCAGCGCTGATACACCTAAGCTCATATATATATATATATATATATATATATATATATATATATATATATATATATATATATATATATATGTGTGTGTGTGTGTGTGTGTGTGTGTGTGTGTGTGTGTGTGTGTGTAAAACAATTCCAATGAGGAATTACACGAATATAAAATTGTATTTTTTTTTTTTTTTTTTCAGACTGTGATTTCCGTGGCGGCCTCGTGGCTAGCGTAGCGCCTCCTTGCTTGCGTACAACGGCGTATATGGAGCCATCACGGCCTTCTTGGCGCTATCCTTATGTAGGATATTCTGGTCTGCACCTTACTCATACGCAGGTGTCCTTCCTGCAGCTGCTCCTCTCTCCTTAAAAACCTGTAGTTAAGACCGTCGCTTGCGTCACATACAACGTCGCTGCCGCTCCTCTTGCTTACAACGTAGCTCCCTTCGCACCTGTAGCACCTATCCAGTCTCAGTACCACGCTCAGGATGAGATCGGTCAGTACTCCTTCGGTTACGCCGGCGGTCCTTCTTCACGCGCTGAGTCTCGCGACGCCTTCGGTGTTGTCCGTGGTTCATACAACTACGTGGACTCTGAGGGAAAGGTTCAGACTCAGCACTACGTCGCCGACGCCCTTGGATTCCGTGTGTCCCGCACCAACCTGCCAGTGGCTCCCGACGCTCCTGTAGCTGCTCCTCTGGCCGCCCTTCCCGGTCCCCTTCCCGAACCCGTCCAGGACACCCCAGAGGTAGCCGCCGCTAAGGCCGCCCACCAACAGGCATATGACGAAGCCGCAGCCGCTGCCGCTGCCGCCCCAGACACCCGCAAGAAGCGCTCCGTGCTTGCGGCTCCCGGTCTTGGCGTCTACTCTCCTCTTCGTTTCTCCTACGGATTCTCCGCTCCCCTCCACTACGCCCACCCAACAGCCTATGCTTCTCCTCTTCACTATACTGCCGCCCATCCCGCCCTCACTACCTACAACGCCGCCCACGTCCCCACCACCTACGCCGCCGCCGCGCCCCCTCCGTGACGCCGAGCTCCTCCGTGTCCACAACCCCGCCCACGCACCTCCTACCGCGTGCTCAACTGAGTGGGGAATCCAGTCACGTGAGGTGTGTAGAGCGTCGCCCTTGCCCCTTTCTGCATTTTAAGAGGAGGCTGGGGTTGAATGTTGACACACCTCATTATCTGTACAAAGAGCGTCTATAAAATAATCAAATTGTGTTTCTCAAATAAACAAATGATAAAGATATCTACTGTTTACAAAACTAACAATAGCTTGATAACTGTTGCTCTAAAATAACGTTTGGGAAGAATATATATGTGCGCATATTTGCATGTATAAGTATATATGTATGTGCTTATATATACAATGCACGCACACGTACGCACACGCAACCAGACATGTTTGTCTGTATTTATATATATATATATATATATATATATATATATATATATATATATATATATTCATATATACACATACATATGAACGGCTACACGTAAGCATCTCAGACATCTCCCTTTGAAATCCTAAACGATATGGTATCAGAGATACATCCCAAAGATGCTGGCCTTCTTATTTATCAAGCAGACCAACAGAAGTGTAGTAAGTTACAAAAGCATTAATTCTTCCACCAAGTCTGGAACAGCCACAGTAATGTATGAGCAGCATAATCAAATGCCGGAAACACTTTCGAATTACAACTCAAAATGCATCAATATACATCTCTATTTTCAAACGTATTATACCATAACAAATAGATGAATATATGAATAAACAGACGACGTTATACCGTTGGGAGATTTGGCAATTGGTAAAAATAGTGCCCAGATTTTGGAGCTTCTAACAGAATCCCAACATCAGCCATGTACTGATTTACAGCAAGGAATTCTACGGCACAAGGCCAATAGATTTTGAATAATCAAGATCGGATTATGGCCATTTTGAAGATCATATTACCATCATTATTATAATTATCAAAATCTTTATTATCGTTATCATTCTGAATATCAGGGCATGAGGTGCTAATAGCAGATCTAAGATACTTCACTGCAAGTCAACATATGCCCAACACTGCACTCTTATTAAAGCTATAAATACGCTACCCTTAAATTACTTTCTTACAATCAATTAATATACCACATCATATGATGTAATTTTGGTTATGGTCAACTGCATGTGCCACTATACTTTTATTTGGCTTTGAAGAAGTTTTTTTTACCGGGTGTACTGTGTTCTCAAAGAGTAATGTATCTTTCTTATGATTATTCTACCATTGCTAGTATTGGCCTTAATACTGTTATATTGATTACTGTAGTAACTACTCTTGTTTGTGATGCTATTCTATCAGTTTTAAAATAAATTCTTTATCATAATTACCAATACCATTATCATTATCACTATCACCGTTTTCAAAAATATTCTACCTCTAATATTGCTGATAAATCATCTGCGACATCAGCATCATAATCATTATCATAAGTTTCATTATTATCAGTGTTAATATTTGTAGTTATCATGTTTATCATTATCATTGTTATTGTTGATGTAGTTAGTATAATTATTGTCAATGTTTTATCATAATTATAGTTGTAATTATTAGTAGTAATAGTATTATATTATCATTAATGTTATTACCATTACCATCTGGGGTTTAGTGCTGGTGAAAAGCGACTTTCCTATCATGGGCTATTTTTTAACTTTGATGTCAGCAGATAAATTGTATAGTACCATATATCTTTATATTTGTATCATTGAATATCAGACGATCAGACATATATATAAAAACCTAAATATCTGTGTGCACATATAGATACACACAAATACACACATACACATACCCACCCCCTACTTATGCGTGTTTAACGTTTATATATAGCCGTTAAACCCAGCTTCATCCCGGACCTACAAAACTGTATCAGGATGTATCAGGAGGAGGGATCAGGATGCGAAAGAAAGGGAAAGCCCCGCCCTCGACGCCGCTACTCGGCGCTAATGGTCAAGACGCTAACCGACGTCTTCAAGGGGCGAGGACAGTCAGTGCCCCAAGACAGCGCCTGGATGGTGGGACCGCATGAACACTCTGTCTAGGGAAGCTCGATTTCGCTGGGGTCGAATTATTCAAGCTTGTCTAGTTTAGTTGTTTTAAATAATGTTCACTCTTTGAAGTAATCTTCAGATGACGATTTCTGTGGTGGTCCTCGTGGGTCGTGGCAGCGTTTCTCGGCTTGCGCACGACACCGTATATGGAAGCTACCACGGCCTTCTTGATGTTATTTATTCTAGGTTATTCATATCTGCATCCTTACTCGTACGCAAAACACCTGTTATCACGTTTGTCGCTCTTGCTCTCGTGAGAAACAGGATGATGATGGTAATTATGGTAAAATAATATTAATGGTAATATAATGGTTGTGATGATATTGATATTAATCGTAATGATAATGATTATAGTGAGAAAAATAGCAATAGCAGTGATAATCATTATATTCTAATAATTTAAGTTATAATGATATTGATAGCAATATAATGATAATGTTAATGATATGATACATAAAATGATATAATATAAACAATAATAATGATATTATAAAATAATATAATAATGATAAAATGATATATAGATTATGATAATCATAGCACTAATAACAATACCAACAGCAATAAAGATGATGGCAGTAATGATCATAATCTATTATCTAATTCTACTGGTATTTCGTCTATTCTGCGTGACTGCGGAGTTGAAGTCGCTGCTTTTCATGTAAAACGGGATGACATGTAAAGAATGACAAACGCATACACACAAACACACGCGCACATAAATGCATGACATTACGAATCTGTCTTAATCTAGCTCTATTAATCATAATCATTATCAGCATTACTGTTGTTATCATCATTGCCATTCGTCTCCGAGGCAAGTGTACTGCACTGAATTAGACCGTCAAGAATTTACACGGGGGTGGGGGGGGGGGTAAGAAGGAAGATAATGAGGGAAGGGGAATGGGAAAGTGGAGAAGAAATGAAGGGGAAAGAGGCTTATGGGGGAAAGGATCTTAAACAGGAGAGGGAGATGGGGAAAGCGAAAGGAAGAAGCGGAGAGGACATGAAGAGAAAAGAGGTAAGTATAAGGGGGAAGAGAGGGGGTGCTCAGGGAGTAAAGGGAAATGAGGGAGGGAGGGGAGAGGATAAGGGAAATGGGAGGGAGCTAATATGGGGCTTAAAGTGGAGGGAGGAGTGAATTTAAAGATTTGGGAGCGATGATAAGAGTCTATGATAGTATTTATCAGGATAATGATAATAATAACAATAATAATAACAGTGATAATAATGATAATGATGATAAGTAATACTGATAATAATAGCAGCAGCAGTAGCAATGATTATAATGAAAATAATAATGGTAAAGATAATCACAATCATAATGATAACAAGAAAGAACGAAAATGATAATACTGATAATAATAATGATAATAATAATGATAATCAAAATAGTAATAATTATTATAACGGAAATAATCATAATGACAACAAAAATGATAGTAATGAGGATGATAGCGTTAGATATAATAATCACAGCAGTAATAGTAGTAACAATAATCATTATCACAGTAATAACAATAAATAATGATAATGAAAAATAGCGATGATAAGGATAGTTATATAATACTGACTATAATGTATAATACTAATGATAAAGACAACAATGATATCAACGGTAATAATAATGATTATATTAATGCTATAAACAATAATCATGAAAAAGATATCAATATTATCAACAATAATGATAGTAATGATAACAATGATGACAATTATTTGTATAGTAATAATAGTAAAGATAATGGCAATAAATCAATGCTAACAGCAAGAACGACAATAATAATGAGATATAACAAACTAGTAGCGATAATGACACTGGCAACGATAACTTAAATAACAAGATCAACATGCTGCATCTGGTTTACCAAGGCCACCTGAAAGCATTAGTGTGTATCACTGACAAACACGTTCATAAATCAGATAAAACGATAAACAAATAAATAAATGAATAATTTTCAACCATTATCCAGTGATTGTCTCATTCGGGTGTTCCAGGTGTACAAAGGACAAATGAAAGCCTTCGCCACAGGTAAGCGCCTCAAGGTATCTCTCGCCCACATTCTTGAGTATCTATAGCATTGAAGCACGTTGGAAAGTATTAAGTGTATTTATGAATGGAAAAATTTAATAATTCATAAGTACGTTCATTTTTTATTATCATTACTATTATTTGTGCAATGAATATAAAACGCTGCGTCATATCATAACAGCATAATCTTATTACCATTTCTACTGTGAAGTTTATTTCCGTAATAATTCATGTACTTAAAACAAC